GGATGATATGATTGATTATGAATTTACATCAAGGAACAGTGGGCATATCGTGTACCCCTTAGAAATGTACATGGGGGTGGGGCTTTATCTGAAGCCTCCTCCTCTTCAAACCCCACCGGAGATGTGGAGAGGCATTCCTTTTTCTCAGGGTTTTGCCAGGCTAGGGAACCCTTCACTGTTGCAATCCTAAACCCCATCCTTAGTGTTTTACTGGTTGGGATTTCTTAAAGTTGGTTTTGATTGGTTGATGTATTGCACTTTTCCACTTAGCCATTGCTTAGTTTGTAGCACCCTCCTAGATAGGTTGCTAGGATGATTAGGTAAATTTAGTTCTTTTTGGCCCCTCTGTAATCAGTGGGGCTGTTTGTGTTTGCTTTGGGCAGTTCTGGAGTTCATTGGCTGCAGGTTTAATTGTTTCCCTCTGCCTTCTGGAGGGTTCTGGAATGCAGTGGGTTGAAAATGGCAAATCAACATATATATGTATGTTGCCTTGTCCAATACCAGGGGGAAGGTGCCCAATAGGTGACTGAGGAGTGCATAAATGGTCTGGGGCTCAGGACAGCCTGATTCTTGTCCAGTAGCAGAAGTTCCCAGCCTGAAGGGTTCAATGAGGTCCCAACTAAGTCAGAGCTGGGGGGCCTGATTTTCTGAAAATCTTTGGTATAAATCAAGGGATTTCACTGGGAATTTGGTCTGGAGAGCTCACAGGTGAATGTCTGGCTGATATTGGAAGGAGGCATCCAAGTATCCAGGGACATTGTGAGTACAGACCTGAGTCTAGGATCCTAGTGAATGTCTGCTGTTTTCCCTTGCACACATCTACCAGTGGTTGCTTGGCCTGTGACAATTCTTACAATGACTGAGTGTTGGTCATTTCTTTGGTTTCTACTATAGAGACAGCTCTAAGAAGTACTGATGAAGTGAAGCGCACCCTCTTGTTACTGTAAAGTTTTGCTGGAATATCCCATACTCCCCCTGTTCCCCATCCAAGTTTATTCAGCAATAAATCTCAAAAGACAACCCTTTAGACTGATCATTGAGCTAGAGTGAGTTACTATTGCTATGCGCCTGGCTGCCTGTGCACTAATCTGGGAAAAGAACGTGTGGCAATTAACGCCCCCTGTGGGGCTGAGCTCTACAGTTTATGGAATAATCTATTTTTTTTCATAGAAAGGGTTGTTTTTTTTTCTGCTTTGTTTTCTCTGCTATCCTGGTAATACCTAGCCCCTGGGATCTTCAGCTAACTGCACCCAACTAAAGGCATTATTTGCAATTCATTTAGGTAACATTTTCCCACAAATTACATCTGATACAGCCATCCAAAAATGCATTACCTTCTATTTATTGAAGTGCACTTGAGAAAATACAGATTAAAAGCATTTTCACGCTTTGAAAGTTTACGTTGCTCCAGGTTTTTTTTCTGTTTGTATCATGAGCTTAATTTTATATTTGCTTTTCAAGTGTTTAATGTGTGGATTTAATATGTTTTGAAAAATCTCAGGCATTGAATGCAGAGCATTTAAATCCCACTTTCCCCCTGTTGTGTTTCTGAAATTAATAAAGTTAGTTTGAGTCTTAAATGTCACTTATTTTCTTTCTTATTTTCATAGTCAATTTCACTAAGCAGAAGGACTTGCTAATCCCACATTTCACATAGATAGAAGGTCAAAGTTGACCAGTCAGCTAAAAAAATACTATATCAGGGGCCTTTTCCTCTCCAATTGAAAGAGGTATAAATTGTGGAATTAGTGTATTGATTGAAGGCTACAACTTCAAGCAATTGGTTTTTCTGGCTTGACAAGATTATTTTATCCTACTTTTCTTTTAGTGTTATGCGTTCTATTTGAGCTATCCTTCAGGCAGTTGAAGTGACAGCTTGAATTTACTCAATAAAATCCACCACTTAGGGAACCTAGTGAGCCGAACAAAAGCTGGGAAACGATTTCGAGGGGAAGGTGCAGCGAGTGTAAGCAAGCATGGCGCTCTATAAGAGAAAATATTAAGTTAAATTATGCTGTAATCAATAGATTTCTATGGAAACGTTCAAGAAGTTTGTTAAAAGGTACTTGGTAGGGCGGTCAGAGGATGAGGCCACCTTCAAGAAGAATCATTTTAAAACTATTAGGCGTTATTGGAAAGAGTGATTTGCTTTTTTTGGTTTTAATTGCCACAATTGTCACAGATCGAGCACTCTTTAACTCTGCCTTTGTTTTGTCTATAAAATGCAAGTTGTGTTTGATAACAAATCATCTGAGATGTTACTGGAGTTCAAACGCAGTGGCATGGGATTAAAACTGAACTGTAGTTTTATACATATATATATATATATATATATATATAATATATATATATATATATATATATCTGTTATATAAAAATTATATACTTTTACTTTTACATAAAGCTGCCATAAGTACCTAAATCTGTCTTCAATTAAAGTATATGTGAATCCCCTTCTTGTAAAATAGCCCAACCAGATTAAAGTAGAAATGAAAGGTAAAATATTTGTATATATATATATAAGTATACTCTTTCCCCCCTTTTTTATAAGCCTCTGTTCTCAGCTGCATAAGGAGCTCAGAGAGCAGGGGGAGGCGAAACAGCAGCACATTGGTTTTTCCAGTTAATAGCTGTGTGTGTGTGTGTGTGGGGGGGGGGGGGGGGGTCAAGACAAACTGGAGGAGAGCAAGGAAAGGGACTGGCAGGAACACCAGGGGTTTCACACAAGGGAAGCTCTACAAAGAGAACAGGATACATTTTTCATACAAGTGCATGGTACAGCAGCAGACACATACAGTGGATATAAAAAGCCTACACACCCCTGTTAAAATGTCAGGTTTCTGTGATGTAAAAAAATTCAATAAAGATAAATCATTTCAGAACTTTTTCCACCTTTAATGTAACCTATAAACTGTACAACTCAGTTAAACAACAAACTGAAATATTTTAGGTGGAGGGTAGTAAAAATTAAAAAACTAAAATAATATGGTTGCATAAGTGTACACACCCTTAAACTAATACTTTGTTGAAGCACCTTTTGATTTGATTCCAGCACTCAGTCTTTTGGGTATGAGTCTATCAGCATGGCACATCTTGACTTGGCAATATTTGCCCGCTCTTCCTTGCAAAAACACTCCTAATCTGTCAGATTGTGAGGGCATCTCCTGTGCACAGCCCTCTTCAGATCACCCCACAGATTTTCGATCGGATTCAGGTCTGGGCTCTGGTTGGACCATTCCAAAACTTTAATCTTCTTCTGGTAAAGCCATTCCTTGTTGATTTGGATGTATGCTTTGGGTTGTTGTCACGCTGAAAGATGAAGTTCCTCTTCATGTTCAGCTTTCTAGCAGAAGCCTGAAGGTTTTGTGCCAATATTGACTGGTATTTGGAACTGTTCATAATTCCCTCTACCTTGATTAAGGTCCCAGTTCCAGCTGGTGATGTGCAGTGTTGTTTTTGCGCCAAACATATCTTTTGGAATGATGGCCAGAAAGTTAAATTGGGGTTTCATCAGACCATAACACATTTTCCCACATGCTTTTGGGAGAATTCAGATGTGTTTTTGCAAAATTTAACCGGGCTGGGATTTTTTTCTACGTAAGAAAAGGCTTCCATCTTGCCACTCTACTCCATAGCCCAGACATATGAAGAATACGGGAGATTGTTGTCTCATGTACTAGATATTCCTGCAGCTCTTTTAATGTTGCTGTAGGCCTCTTGGCAGCCTCTCAGACCAGTTTTCTTATCGTCTTTTCCTCAATTTTGGAGGAATGTCCAGTTATTGGTAATTTCACTGTTGTACCATATTTTCTCAACTTCATGATGATTGTCTTCACTGTAGTATATGCCTATATGACTGTGGTATCTAATGCCTTGGAAATTCTTTTGTACCCTTCTCCTGACTGATACCTTTTAACAATGAGATCCCTCTGATGCTTTGGAAGCACTCTGGGGACAATGGGTTTTGCTGTATGATGTGACTAAGAAAATGCCAGGAAATGATGGCCAGTGTGTACTGACTCCTATTTAACATGATTTTGAATGTGATTGCTTAACTCTGAACACAGCTACATCCCCAGTTATAAGAGGGTGTGCACACTTATGCAACCACATTATTTTAGTTTTTTTTATGTTTACTTCCACCCCTAAAAGATTTCAGTTTGTTTTTCAATCCAGTTGTGAAATGATTTATCTTTATCTCTTTTTTTATATCAAAAACCTGGCATTTTAACAGGGGTGTGTAGAATTTTTATATCCACTGTATCAGGAATATGAATTGTTGGGTTTACATATTCTTTAACTTTTTCATCTTCTGCACAGCAGTATAGATGGAGGGTCAGTGCTAGAAACCTATCAGTGTCTGTAGTAGTCACATATGCTGACAGAGAACATGTTGATAGGAGGAAAGAGCAGAATGAGCAGATTTTATGATTAATCGGTGTTCTGTGGCTCCTTCATTGTTAAATCAGCAAGATAGAAGAGTGGTACAAGGTACAAGGTAAACAAGTCTTGGTATGCTGACGCCTTGAGAGTCCCGCTCACTGGAACTAAGGGGCCAAGCCCAACCCCTGAAAAACAACCCCACACCATAATCCCCCTCCACCATACTTTACATTTGGCACAATGCAGTCAGGCAAGTACTGTCCTCCTGGCAACCACCAAACCCAGACATGGCCATCAGATTTCCAGACAGAGAAGTAGGATTTGTCACTCCAGAGAACACATCTCCACTGCTCTGGAGTCCAGTGGCGGCGTGCTTTACACCACTGCATCCGGCGCTTTGCATTGCACTTGGTGATGTAAGGCTTGGATGCAGCTGCTCGGCCATGGAAACCCATTCTATGAAGCTCTCTATGCACTGTTGTTGTGCTAATCTGAAGGCCACACAAACTTTGGAGGTCTTTCGCTATTGACTCTGCAGACAGTTGGCAACTTCTGCGCACTGTCGCTTCAGCATGCTCTGACCCCGCTCTGTCATTTTACGTGGTCTACCACTTTGAGGCTCAGTTGCTGTTGTTCCCAGTTGCTTCCACTTTGTTATGATACCACTAACAGTTGAATATTTACTAGCAAGGAAATTCACAGATGGACTTATTGCACAGGTAGAACCCTATCACAGTATCACGCTTGAATTCACTGAGCTCCTGAGAGCGACCCATTCTTTCTCAAATGTTTGTAGAAGCAGTCTGCATGCCTAGGTGCTTGATTTTATACACCTGTGGCCATGAAGGTGATTGGAACACCTGAATCCAATGATTTTGAGGGGTGTCCCAATACTTTTGCCAATATAGTGTATGTATATATATATATATATTTCATTTGTGTACAATATTAGCTGATTGCCTGGAATTTAACTTTAATAATCATAGTACCATTTACAACCTCCTTCTTGTATCTCTAAAAGTAATATCTGTGCATAATTAGACTATATTAGGTTATACATAATTAGATCTCTGGCACACAGAAACTTAAAAATGCCATGTCACTAAAAGCAGCCCATTGTTTTTAATGGACCTATACACACAGGTGCTTAACCACTTGCCGCGCCCCTACAGTACATGTACTGCGGGTGAGCATCATGGGCAGGCCAGGCAATGTACAGGTACGTTGCGGACGAATTTCCAAGTTTGGGGCATGCATGATTGAACACAGTGTGAGTTTGGCAGCTGATTTCAGCCAATGATTTGGGCTAAAATTAGCTGATCAGCTGTTTCCAATCATACAAAGAGTTCTGTGGTTACACAACACATAACTCTGTGTACAGGGAACAGCAATCTGGCTGTTTATTCTCCCTGCAAGTAGCACTGATCACTGTATTAGTGTCACTATTGATATTTGTGTCAGTTAGTCAGTGTGCCTTCCATCCAGCATCAGCTAGCACCAGATTGCCCGCCACACTACCACAGTCCCACTATAAGTCACTTATCATCTCCATTACCAGGATAGCATCATAGCTGTGTAAATTCCAGTATATATACCATAGTTTGTAAACGCTATAACTTTTGCACAAACTAATTAACTTACACTTATTGAGATTGTTTTTTATGAATGACATTTAGCAGAATACATTTCTAAATAAATGCCTAAATTTATGAATTTTATTATGTTGAATATATTTTATAACAGAAAGTAGAAAATATTGTTTTATTTCCAAATTGTTTGGATTTTTTCATTTATATAATAATAAACAAAAAGCCCAGTGGTGATCAAATACCCCCCCAAAAAACTCTATTTGTGTGAAAAAAAAATCATATAAATTTAATTTGGGTACAGAGTTGCATTACCGTGCAATTGCCAGTTAAAGTAGCTCAGTGCCAAATAGCAAAAAAAAAGCCTGGTCATGAAGGGGGTAAAAACTACTGGAGATCAAATGCTAAACTTGCGCTGCTTATACAACGTAGATCAGTTTTAAAAAAAAAACAAATATCTGCATTGCTGGTTGGTATTTTTAGCCAGGTACGTGCAAATCTGCACAAAATTTGTGTGTACACCACACCCCCTGTATTAAAAAAAAAGAAAAATGTACAAATACTTGCCAGTGCAATACAGCCTATTCTCACATTTTTTAATTCCAGGAATACCTGATGTGCATACATCATACCATGTGGAAGCACCCTTAGGGATAAAGTATTAGAGATTATCAATTGTAGAGACTCCAGTGGGTGTGGTTGGGAGTCTCTGGCTGGTGGAATCACATGATTGGGTGTTTCTATAATAAGGGTTGCCAAGACCCAAAAATGGTGGATGGAGTATTTTTAAAATGTCAAGCAGTAAAACAATAGTCTTGGGCAAATAGTCTATGCCCCTTTTATGTATTACCACGCTAATTGTTCACAATTGATTGAACCATACCTACAAAACCTTGTAAGCAAGTATTCAAATGAAAAATATGCTTTTATGATACAGGTCTGTGTTTAAGTTTTCTTTTTTCACTGCAGGGAATCTGGAAATTACTTGACATGAATAAACATCTCAACACTTCTCTCTAAAAGTCAGTGTTGTGGAGAGTCTTAAGAATAATATGTCAAAAAATAAAATTTCCAATCTACAAGGGGGTGAGAACTATTACTTGTGAGTGTCAGCTTGGGAAGAGCAGCCCGATGCATGGTAAGCGGAAATCTCTTTGAAGCTTGACGCAGAATGTATTGGGGTCAGGCAGACCAGTCTCTCAAAGGATCTGGAGAGTATGTGTGACTGGACAATCTATTGAGTGAGAAGTGTCACTCTTGAGGTGCACCTTGCCAGAGAAGCCTCATATTGAAGAATTCACTATAAAGATGTAGCTGTATTCCAGAATGGAACGGACAACAAAGACGATTCTACAAAGCAGCATAGCAATTTGTGCTTCCAGGTGGGCTCCAAAGGAACAAGGCATACCTAGTCTGAGCCATGATGACACTAAACACTTTATAATACCATACGAGATATAGCGAAGATCTTACCAAATGCAATCATATGACAGACCAGACACACAGTAAAATCATTTAGTAAACTGTTTTAGTGTTGCTAGAGAGAAAACACTGCAACTAATGTTAGAATCTCCATTACATTTAACTATATATAGTAAGTTTGTATTTGTAATCTGTTAAGGGAAAAAAAATAAATATAAATATATGTTTTATAATCAGGTAAGTATGACATTGTGCATAAAAATATATCATAGGTTTTATTTCCATCCAGCAGGTGATGCTGATAAGTTTACCAAGCTAATCTTCACTGCTATGCTGAAAAGTCCCATAGTTTTGGATAGAGCAGGAAACAGTGGAAACCCTGTCAGGTTGCTGCTTAACCACTTCAATACCGGGCACTTTTACCCCCTTCCTGCCCAGTCCAATTTTCAGGTTTCAGCACTCTCACACTTTGAATGACAATTGCGTGGTCATGCAACACTGTACCCAAACTAAGATTTTTATCATTTTGTTCACACAACTAGAGCTTTCTTTTTGGTGGTATTTAATCACCACTGGAGTTTTTATTTTTTGCTAAATTAACAAAAAAAGACTGAAAGTTTTGAAAAAAAAGCCCCCACAGTTTTCTTTGTTTCTGTTAGAAAAGTTTGCAAATAAATAATTGTTCTTCATAAATTTAGGCCAAGATGTATTCTGCTACATTTCTTTGGTGAAAATAACTTAAATCAGTATTTATTATTTAGTCTGTAGAAAGTTATAGAGTTCACAAACTATGGGATATATCTGAAAATTGATCGATCCTGAAGTACTGACAGCCAATCTAATTTCTTGAGGCTCAAAAATATCAGAACAGTACAGATATCCCCCAAATGACCCTTTTTTGCAAAGTAGACAGTCCGACATATTTCATAAGAGGCATGGCGAGTTTTTTGAAGTTGTAATTTTTTTGTCATAATTTTTTGGAAAATGAAGAATTTAAAAAAATTATTTTCACAATTTTTTTTTTACATACTGTCACCAGTGCAGTACAGCATCAGCATATAACTGGTGTGGAAGTGATCAGGAACACTGACTGGTGACAGTACGAAAAAAAGAAAATTGATAATTGTTTTCAATTTTTTTCCATTTTTTTGTATTATTTTTTTATTTTTTATTACATTGTTAAATCTTTTTTTAAATTTTTTTTTCATTTTTCACTATGACCAAAGTAGTATAATGTTACCATAGTAACATTGTACTACTTTGGGGAAGTGATCAGTATTTTTTTTTTTACACAATTTGATTGCTATAGCAAAGAATTTCTTAGCTATAAGCCAGCATTTAACTGAATGAAATTGATTCATTCAGGGTTTTTTTTTTGTTGTGATTAGTTGTGATTGGCCAAGGCTAATCACATGACACAGATGGGCCCATGATTGGCCCAGCCTGTGCATGTAATCGCTGTGACCATTCCCAGCTAGACACACTTGTATACAATGGATGGCATGTGACCTGCTTTGATTGGTCACAGCAGGACACATGGTACTGGCAACGGGGCCGGTACACAGATCTGTCATCGGCCGTGTCCGAAGTACACAGCCGGTGACAGATCTTGCCACAAAGTGCAATCCAGAAAGGACCTCGTATGACACCCTCCTGGAGGGACGAGGTGTTTGCCCGGTCGTTATTTGACTATAGGCCAGGCGGCAAGTGGTTAAAGTGTTACTAAACCCAGGACCCTGCATTCATTATATCTGGTCTCCCACAGTACACAGAACATAGAAATGCAGTTATTTTAGTAAATTATAAACTGCTAAATGCCTTTTCTCATCAGCAGTTAGAGCAGTCTTGTGACTTCAGCTGAACACTGGTTAAAGCTTGCAGGAGATTTCTTTCTACTTTAGGAGGATGCAAAACCCTGACCTCTGTCTGCACAGTGATTGGCCCTGTGCCGATCACATGCACTCTTCCAAGGAAAGAAAAACCTCTCTAGCAATACACACTAAACTGAGCATGTGCAGAATGGCTACAGGTTCAGTCTGTCTTATCAGGAGCTAGGACGTGGACATTTGAAAAAGAGTAGGGGCAGAGAAGGAAGGATCAAATGGCCTTTTTACACAATGCAGAGGAATAACCCCTTAGGTTTCACAGTGAGTATAACAAGCATGTTTTACTGCATATACAGACTGATTTTTACTGTTGTGGGTTTCATAACACTTTAAGTCCCCATTAGGGAGATTCATCCTTTATATTCATTCTGCCTATTTGTCCTAGTAACCATTGTCACTGGGGTGGAAAGTGAGTGAAAATCCAAAATTGTGAGTTGTCAGAAGAATAGGAAGATAGGAGAAATGTTCCAGTTGTATTGTTCACTATCTAAGAGAGGATTTTTGGAGAGATTTCCTCTAACTTCCTGTGGTGCCTATGAGACAGTACATAAATGATCTGCCCTACAGGACTCATGTACAGGGGTTTTAAGGTTTCTCTACTCGATTAAAAAAAAGAGTTTTAGATATTCTTTAAATTTGCACACAAACTCAGAGAAGTAACTCATACCTCACCTCCCTTCCTCTGCTCTTACACCTCCAAACACACTCAATTAAAGAGAGACAGTCTGAAAGTAAAACAGCTACTGCTCCTTTTAGAAAAGCCATAGCACTCTGTTGCACTAGTGAAATGGGTGCACCATGTGTCATTGCTGCCATTGCTGACATTTTTTTCTTGCCTATAGCCGCTTACAAACCCTGAGTTTATTATTTCTAGAGTTATTGGCCTGGAACAAGCATACAGTTCAGAAAGGTCAGTTCAAAGTTAGAGCTCCTGATCTGCATACTTCCAGCTGGTCAATAAATTAAAGATTATTCAAGCCACTGGATCAGCATGACAGCCAGGGTACTAGAATTGTTTAGGACGAGTTAGCAATGGCAATTACAGTCCTGGCAACCACAGTGAGAGCTGTGAAAATGTGAAATAGACTCCCTCAAGAGTTGGTTCTGGCCAGCTCAGTGGATTGCTTCAAAAAAGTCCTGGATTATTTCTTAGATACACAGAATATAACTGGATACTAACATTTATTGATAAAGTTGATCCAGGGAAAATCCAATTGCCTCTCGGGGGGTCAGGAAGGAATTTTTCCCCCTGCAGGACCAAATTGGATCATGCTTTGCTCGGTTTTTTTTGCCTTCCTCTGCATCAACTGTGGGTATAGGATTATAACTTTTGTTTTTAATGGTTGAACTGGATGGACTTTTGTCTTTTTTCAGCCAGATTAACTATGTAATTACACTTTTTCCTTTAAATGTTTGTAAAAGCTTCCTTGTGTGGCGTGGGCTCAAGACAAACAAGATCAAATATTCCAGGATCAGAAGAAACGTTGGTGTTTTCAGCTTATTAAAGACTACAGAAAGTCTGTTGTTTTCAATCAGATAGACCCTGTCTGCTAGAAATAAAGTAAGACAGGAGCATTCTTTTTCAATTGCTCACAACTCTAATGTCCTTCAAAACTTGCTATGGATTTCTTGAGCAGTGGAAGACTTATTTCCCATTTTATAGCGCCTGCATAGTTCTGGCACAGATGTTACCTGGGAGAGCCAGTGACATGGGACAAGTTGAATTTCTCTTCTTATCTCTCACATAAGTGACCGCTAACCAATGGCTATTTTATTTGCCTAGAAAGGAAAGAACATTTTCCAGTTTGACCCCCAATGTAAGAGAGTGCTTCCACACAGACCTCAAATGTAAGGTTGCACCTTTCCACTGACCACCAAAGTAAGAGGGTATTTCTCCCCTGCCTTCCAATCTAAAAGTATACTAAATGCTTCACTCTTTTATTGGTCATTATTATTATTTGTTGCATTTTGTGATTTTAACAGAAAATAATTTTGTTGTAAAAATTAGGTGGTGCTAAAAATAATCTAATTTCTATAACTAAAATACATAATTATTGGCAGGGGTTCCTAGAGACCTGAAGATGATTTTAAGGTTACAAAGGTTGAGGAAGGCTGAAAAAGGATAAAAGGCACAGTCCTTTGACAAAGGAAGTAGAACTTGCGTATGTCATGAGTAAATAAGACATACAGTATATAATCACAAAAAGGATATTAAGGCTGGAGAAAGTGTAGTGAAGGGCAGCCAAACTGATAAGAGGCATTGAGGACCCAGGCTTTGAGGAAAGATTAGCTGAAGTAAATTCATTCTCTGTTGAGAAGCAGCGATTAAATAGTCCACATAGTGGACTTGGTGTATAGGGCAAGGGGGCATGCCTTACGTCTGGAGGAAAAGAGATTTAATGGCTTCTTCGCTGTAAGAGCTTTGAAAATGTGGAAAAGACTCCCTCAAAAAATAGCTCATGAGATTGTTTTA